TCTAGGGATTTTGGAACTCTAAGGATTTGGGGACTCTAGGGATTTAGAGACTGTAGGGATCTGGGGACTCAAGGGATTTGGGGATTCTAGCGATTTATGGATTTAGGGATCTAGAAATTTTCTAAATTTAGGGATATATGGATTTTTGGGTCTAGAGATTTGATGATCTAGGGATTTCTAGATCTAGAAGTTTGTAGATTTAGAAATTTAGGAACATAAGGATTTAAAAAATGTGAAAACTCGAAGATTCGAGGCCCCAAAAAAGAAAATTGGAAATTCAAAAATTTCCAAATGTAATCAGAAAATGTATAAATTAGATAAGTTTCCTAGAATCAACTGCAAATAACGTGAGTCCCTTACATATTTTTCGTCAATACCATGTACCGGCAGTCATGATACACAGTATCATGAGATCTGTTCGGTGTTCAGTTAGCCAGGCGAAATTCATCATAGATTCGCGTAAATGCTGTGCAATTTCCGACGACATTCTGCAAACGGAAAAGAGTACGACGACTGTTTCTGCTACGCCTTTCTAAGCAACGCTTTTATCTGCATGAATGAGCGCTTAAGGACTCGTTACGTTTATACGACACGCGTGACCAGAATGCAAATATTTTTACGCGACTCACGTGACAAATTCGATTCCACACACGCATATCTTACGCGTATCTCCATCTGCATACGTACGATTCACCTTGTACCGTGTACGTTTATCTTTCTTATGCAGATGCACCGTTTACGAGGCTGCGTTGATTTTATAGATAACTGGTCACTTTCTTCGCTACTAACCAAACGATTTCATCAATTCTGAAACGCTTTATGATACTCTTCTATTCGACGCATGTGTACCAGAGACCGTTAGACATACGAGTGCAGCTCTGAAATTTCGCACACCGATGATGCAGTTATTTTGAATTCATTTTACAACATTGTGTCGAGACAGATCTAGAACACTATTGTGGGGGTAAATCGAAATTTTCGAACGACGCGTATGCCAGTGAATGAACGATGGTATTCTAAAAATAAAAACCGTAAATTAGAATACTGCCTCGTTAAAATTAGATTCTAAAATTAGAATGATGTATTAGATAACGCGCTACTTTGTCAATCAAGATGCTATTCCTATGAAAGGAAAGAAATGCTGTCCCATGGAACTATGATAGAATTTCTATTGCTTCTGCGGCGGAATTAGGCCATTAATTGTATCGTAAATTGATTAAATTACTGAAATTGGGTTAGGGGCTGATTGCCCAGTGGAACGTGGCCCTCGTTGACGTCAAATTCGTTGCGTGTAAGCTCAGGTGACCGCTATATTTCATTTTCTTCAAATTTATTAGCAACACTGATGCTTAAACTTCGGTAAACAACTTTGGTAAACAAATACGTATTTACTATATTATTACACATTGTAACTTTAATAATAAATTCTGTTATATTGAATTTTAGTAGATACTGAGTTATTAGTTGTAGTTACTAAGTAACCTTTTTATTACGTACGTATGAGTATACGTATGCGTATGAGGTTTATTATTCATGTACATATGAGTATACATATACTTATGGAGTTTATTATTCACATACATATGAGTATTATTATTCGTATACATGTGAGGTTTATTATTCATATACATATGAGTTTTATTATTCACATACATATGAGTCTAATTATTCATATACATATGAGTATACATATACATATGAGTTTTATTACTCATATACATATGAGGTTTATTATTCATAACCAAACGATTTCATCAATTCTGAAACGCTTTATGATACTCTTCTATTCGACGCATGTGTACCAGAGACCGTTAGACATACGAGTGCAGCTCTGAAATTTCGCACACCGATGATGCAGTTATTTTGAATTCATTTTACAACATTGTGTCGAGACAGATCTAGAACACTATTGTGGGGGTAAATCGAAATTTTCGAACGACGCGTATGCCAGTGAATGAACGATGGTATTCTAAAAATAAAAACCGTAAATTAGAATACTGCCTCGTTAAAATTAGATTCTAAAATTAGAATGATGTATTAGATAACGCGCTACTTTGTCAATCAAGATGCTATTCCTATGAAAGGAAAGAAATGCTGTCCCATGGAACTATGATAGAATTTCTATTGCTTCTGCGGCGGAATTAGGCCATTAATTGTATCGTAAATTGATTAAATTACTGAAATTGGGTTAGGGGCTGATTGCCCAGTGGAACGTGGCCCTCGTTGACGTCAAATTCGTTGCGTGTAAGCTCAGGTGACCGCTATATTTCATTTTCTTCAAATTTATTAGCAACACTGATGCTTAAACTTCGGTAAACAACTTTGGTAAACAAATACGTATTTACTATATTATTACACATTGTAACTTTAATAATAAATTCTGTTATATTGAATTTTAGTAGATACTGAGTTATTAGTTGTAGTTACTAAGTAACCTTTTTATTACGTACGTATGAGTATACGTATGCGTATGAGGTTTATTATTCATGTACATATGAGTATACATATACTTATGGAGTTTATTATTCACATACATATGAGTATTATTATTCGTATACATGTGAGGTTGAGTATACATATACATATGAGTCTTATTATTCACATACATATGAGTCATTATTCATATACATATGAGTATACATGTATACATATGAGTTTTATTATTCATATACATATGAGTTTTATTACTCACATGAGTACATGTATAGCACATATGCTCATACTCACATACACATGCGTATAGTTCTTAAGTGTTACACTAAAACGTGCACATATTAGGTAATATCGAACTTACTACTCACAATCGATACCTGAATGATTCACTCACGTGCAAAACGCTTATTCACATACAACAACATCCACATCAGTATTCGAACAGCAAATTACCGGTTATTTCCGGTTCGTTTTCACGACTCCAAAAGCTTTCCAAACATCTAGTAAACACGAGTCTAAGATTGCGCAAAAGAGATTCAAGGAGGGAAAAGAAGGAACAAGATTGAACGAAACGTGTTCGATAGCAACGTTGTTGGCTGAATTAAACGTCCGCATCGAGGACGTCTAATGAGCAATGAACAATAGAGTACACCCCGTCGTTGACCGATGTTAGCAACCAGTCGCTAAAAATAAGGATTTTGACGGTTGCCAAAATTCAAGGAATATCGCGGACTCAAGTTCGCGATCGAAAAGCTTCTCGAAAGCTTTCAGTTGTCGCTCGTCCGCAAATTCGACGGTGTTGCTCTGGATAACGATCTGTTAACAATTGCGTAATTGAACGCCTCTTCAAACGTAGTCGATCGCGTCGATTATCGGAACCGCGTACGTCATTCACCAGAGTGTTTCGCGAATAAATTTCTTGCTGCCGATAGGCCAAAAGTAGACCATCGACTGCGCCGTTAATATTGAAAGTTTCATTCCGAACGCTAGGAAAATACATAGAGCTTTGATAACATTTTCAATTAAGGAGACTAATAAACAAAAATTGATAAACATATTAATACATAATCTTATATATTAATCTATCGAAATAATTCGTTCATAGATTTTAATTAACACATCTTTGATATGATCTCCGTTTTAACTAACGAGAATCACCATCCCTTACGACTTCAACTCATAAAATTCCTTTTAAGGCCAAAATTGAACCAGTAATCTCTGGTGAATGATATACGCGCAGTGATAACGAGTTCATAAAGTCTGAAGAGTGATGAACGTGGATGTTCAACGATATTTGGTTGATTTGTTGACTCGTAGTGTAACAAGTGTACATTGGCACTCCTCGAGGAAAACAATAGACGCAATGAACGGTTCGCAATAAGTCGTGGCCAAAAATACCGAGAGTTTCGAAGTTTGCCAAAAGACAAGTAATGTTCAGAAATGCCTCGTCTGACACTAGATCGATCGATTAATCGAAGAATTATCCTCTGTTCGGGTGAAACCCGCTACGTCAAAAGATCTTTGATCCTGCTTTCATGCCGGCTTTCGTCCTGAACAGAGCTTATTTCGTTTGTAACGATGAATATCTTGTAAGTGGATCATTATTGTCGAAGAACCTTATGATCGTTCATAATCCCGGTGATGTAACTCGTTAAATAACTCACCTCGTAGAATTAATCATGTTACTTAATTACTTTGGACGATCTTTTAATCTTCGATGCAGTAAAAATTCATGTACAAACCGTGTGTTGTGCAAGGATTAAATCTGTAAGCTCTATTTATCTGATATTAGGGTACACAGCTTTTTACTCAAAAATATAACATCGAATTATTTATTCTCTCAGTCATTAACTATACCCGTCTCATTATCACTAATCAATGTTATCGAACTTTGAAACCGTAATCTTGTTTTCTCTGAACTCAACCTGGAACTGTTTGCTTGTGTCATCTACCTTCAAACAAGATCTAGTCTCGACGCATCCTCCATACGATCGAAACGTTTTGTTCTGTGTTCAGTTATCTGTTCTGCATTATAATTCTTTTCTTAGGTCGTCAAGTAGTAAGTCACGGCTCAGATGTTTTTTATTTTCACTAATAAGAAAAGACAGATAGGATCGAAATTTCAGACAATAACGTTATCTTTCGATGGATAACGATTGACAATCTATCGTTCATTATCGTCGCTTTCGAATTTCGGGAAATAATATTTAGACTAATTCCTTTAAGCCTCGGCTTACGATCGCACTGATTTACTCTCTTCTTTCTCTTGCGAGCTTGCACGTGAAATTTGCAACTTTACGTACAAAATTTGACTATTAAAACACATGAACTCAAGTTCATTAGTTTAGAATCTCTAATTCATCGCAAGTAGTCGAAGACTACGAACTAGATGTAAAGAGAAAATCCCAAAGATCGTTTGGTACGTATAAATCATTTCCGCAAGCTTTGCATCGTGTTCTCTCGTCATATTTTTGCAACTAGTCTGACTCTTACCAACAAAGTTGCACAAAATGTTAAGAACGTGTCGAGAAAAAGAATTGAAATCGAAACGATGATGCATGGTCTAGATGTATGGTCGCTACACGAAGGACCTGGGTGAGTACGCAAAAGAAGAGGCACGCAAACTCAAATACCACGAGAAAGCTCGACGGAAATATGACAAGACCAGGGCGGAGGATTTACGGAAGTCGAGAAGAGGACCACTGTGTCGGAAGCTGCTGGCTCTGTTGGCCTTCGCCTGGAAACACACCGGAGCTAGACTAGGCGAGGACTGGGTCTTTTTGGCTCTTCTCGGTGTTATCATGGCACTTATCAGCTACGCCATGGATCGTGGGATCTCTATGTGCAATAACGGTCAGTTTGACCTCAAAGCAGTTTCGGCTCGTAAATCTTTCCGTTTTTGTAAATCAATTATTACCAAGGCCTCCGTAAAAATTACAATTTTTCAAACGGTGATTAGTTTGCGGTGTTTTGACAGATAATTTAAAAGCAATGTTCAATTTTCCGAGCCATTAATTTGCACTTGTCGAGAACTCGTTAACGGTATCCTTGTTCCACCAGCCAGGATATGGCTTTATCAGGATCTGACGCACCATCCGGCGCTTCAATATCTGGCCTGGGTGTCCTTGCCGGTTTGCCTGATCCTCTTCAGTGCCGGCTTCGTGCATATCGTTGCGCCGCAGAGCATAGGATCCGGAATTCCAGAGATGAAGACCATTCTACGCGGAGTCGCCTTGAAGGAGTACCTCACTTTTCGTACTCTAGTCGCCAAGGTTAGATCCGAATCCGTTGTGCTTGCTTCGGTGCACTGTGTCTACGTGATTGCCCATATCAGTCATGTGATTGCTGTTTCCCCGCTCTCGATAGTGTCACTGCTCGTTAATTATTAATTCCGCTTCTATCATTACCCAGAGCTTTAACATTTTCAGAAGGGTTCTGTAATTCCAAGATCAATTCATAAATCCTTGCATTTCTAAAATTCCAAAGCCTCAAACTTCCAAACACAAGTCCATTTTTAAAGCTCAAGGTTTGCAAAATCCCAGGACTCGCATAATTTATTATTAACCCCTTGCACTATTTCGATGAGTCTGACTCGTGACGCACTCGTACCTCGGCTATCATTACCACGAGAAAGCTCGACGGAAATATGACAAGACCAGGGCGGAGGATTTACGGAAGTCGAGAAGAGGACCACTGTGTCGGAAGCTGCTGGCTCTGTTGGCCTTCGCCTGGAAACACACCGGAGCTAGACTAGGCGAGGACTGGGTCTTTTTGGCTCTTCTCGGTGTTATCATGGCACTTATCAGCTACGCCATGGATCGTGGGATCTCTATGTGCAATAACGGTCAGTTTGACCTCAAAGCAGTTTCGGCTCGTAAATCTTTCCGTTTTTGTAAATCAATTATTACCAAGGCCTCCGTAAAAATTACAATTTTTCAAACGGTGATTAGTTTGCGGTGTTTTGACAGATAATTTAAAAGCAATGTTCAATTTTCCGAGCCATTAATTTGCACTTGTCGAGAACTCGTTAACGGTATCCTTGTTCCACCAGCCAGGATATGGCTTTATCAGGATCTGACGCACCATCCGGCGCTTCAATATCTGGCCTGGGTGTCCTTGCCGGTTTGCCTGATCCTCTTCAGTGCCGGCTTCGTGCATATCGTTGCGCCGCAGAGCATAGGATCCGGAATTCCAGAGATGAAGACCATTCTACGCGGAGTCGCCTTGAAGGAGTACCTCACTTTTCGTACTCTAGTCGCCAAGGTTAGATCCGAATCCGTTGTGCTTGCTTCGGTGCACTGTGTCTACGTGATTGCCCATATCAGTCATGTGATTGCTGTTTCCCCGCTCTCGATAGTGTCACTGCTCGTTAATTATTAATTCCGCTTCTATCATTACCCAGAGCTTTAACATTTTCAGAAGGGTTCTGTAATTCCAAGATCAATTCATAAATCCTTGCATTTCTAAAATTCCAAAGCCTCAAACTTCCAAACACAAGTCCATTTTTAAAGCTCAAGGTTTGCAAAATCCCAGGACTCGCATAATTTATTATTAACCCCTTGCACTATTTCGATGAGTCTGACTCGTGACGCACTCGTACCTCGGCTATCATTTTTACTCAAATTTTTAATGCGCTTCAATTTGGAGTTCAAGTCCAATTATAATTTGCATAGTTAACGATTGAATATTGACATAAAATTTCAATCTTTTTTGTCTGTATTAATATTGTAGCTGTAATTAGTCAGTTCACGCACCTGACAAATAAGTCATAGTGCAAGGGGTTAATCTTGTCCTACTCAGCTGAGAGCTTACCATAACTTCCTATGCATAACTATCTATCAACTAGCTATACAATGGGTTTTCTGCTAAAAGTAGTTACGTCTGCATGATTTTGAAGCTCGGTGTAGACCTACCCTAATTTCTAACAGGTGATAGGTTTGACCGCCACCCTGGGCTCCGGCTTGCCCCTAGGCAAAGAGGGTCCTTTCGTGCATATCGCCAGTATCGTAGCCACCCTTCTGTCGAAATTGGTCACCAGCTTTCAAGGCATCTACGAGAACGAGAGCAGAAACTGCGAGATGCTCGCAGCGGCGTGTGCAGTCGGGGTGGCTGCGTGTTTCGCGGCACCCATCGGAGGGGTTCTCTTCAGCATCGAGGTCACCACGGTGTATTTCGCGGTGCGAAATTACTGGCGGGGTTTCTTCGCGGCTGTCTGCGGCGCCACGATGTTTCGGTTGCTGGCGATCTGGTTTCAAAGGGAAGAGACCATCACCGCGATGTTCGCTACGAACTTCACCATGGACTTTCCCTTTGATCCTCAAGAACTGTTCGTGTTCGCTTTGATCGGCGTTGGCAGTGGCCTATGTGGTGCTTTTTACGTCTGGTTACATAGGCAGTATGTCATCTTCATGAGGAAGAATAAGAGTATGAACAGTTTTCTACAGAAAAAGTGAGTGATCGTGTTTGATGTGTCGGTGTTAACATGCTGGAGTTAACTCTTGAAAGTTAATCATGTTATACAGTTGAGAACAATCATGACATGTTAATACCGACGCTTATGTTTCTCCAAACACAGCTTATGATTGTGCATGATGATTCCAGTCGTTTTCTGTATCCTGGAATCGTTTCTCTCCTGGTATCGTCCATATCCTTCCCCCTGGGGCTAGGCCAGTTCATGGCCGGTGATTTGAACACTCACGACCAAGTGTACGGTCTGTTTACCAACTTCACCTGGACCAAACAAGAACTGGGAGTCGAAGAAATGAACATAGTGAAACACTGGTCCACGGCGTATACGGACGTCTTCATCGGACTTCTAGGTTTCGGTACCTTCACGGTAAGATTCTGAAAAGAGCGTCGAAAGGTTCGCGATCGAACGGAGATCTTTGATTTCAGTTCATCTTTTCCATCATAAGCTCCACGGTTCCCGTACCATCGGGGATCTTCATCCCCGTGTTCAAAATAGGCGCTGCGCTAGGTAGAGCGGTGGGTGAGGCTATGGCTTTGTGGTTTCCCACTGGCGTTCGTTATGGTGGTATCATAACTCCTATCGTTCCAGGTAATTTTGGAGTGACACTTCTTACTTTTTCCTTGATGCCGCGTAATCTTTACACTCGAATCCGTGTCTCTGATTCTAAGTATTCCTAACGTCACATACTCTTTATGTTCATACTCCTCAGTATTATTCACACTTACTGTCGCACTGAAATTCCACTCCTTATCGCTACTCATCCTCGAAGTAACACTCGGATTCTCACGTAACGGGCTAAACTTTTCGTAGGAGGTTACGCTACCGTCGGTGCAGCCGCATTTTCCGGTGCAGTGACCCACACGATCTCCGTAAGCGTCATCGTATTCGAGATGACTGGTCAGATCACTCACATCGTTCCCATCATGATCGCGGTCTTGATCAGCAACGCTATCGCTGCTCTCCTTCAGCCTAGCATATACGACAGCATCATTCTGATCAAGAAGCTACCGTACTTGCCGGACCTACTGCCATCCAGTTCAGGTAAATCGTACTCCGCAAATCTACTCTCAGATTTCGCTTAACTACATTTGTCTTGAACATGCTTCTCGAAAGGATCGGTGAGAGAGGTAATTCAGTGGGCATCTTGTTTAATGAAACACGGGAGCGAAATTTTCGAACGAGAATCGTGATTGTAGGAATGTACAACGTTTACGTGGAGGACTTCATGGTGCGCGACGTGAAGTACATCTGGCACGGAATCACTTACCAGAAGTTGAAGGAAATTTTAAAGGAAAACCGCAAACTACGAGGCTTTCCTTTAGTTGACAATCCAGACTCGATGATCCTACTTGGTTCTATTCAGAGGCTGGAGTTAATCAAATTGATCGAGAAACACATCGGTCGTGAACGAAGGCTACAGGTAGCTGAGGATTCAAGATTTTCTCGTCTTCGTTTCGATTAGGATTAACAGATCTCGACGTGTTCTCAGGTGGCCCAAAAATGGCACAAAGAGGCCGAGGAAAGGGCTCGAGAAGAAATGGAACGGCAACTGAGGGATCAAGAGAGAACCAGGAGGCCATCGAGGTTCGAAGTGATCCCAGCACCGGATATCTTAAAAATGCAGAGGCAAAGCGTTAACGATCTAACAATGTCACCGAGCAACGGAACAGCTCCTGACCACGTGAGTCACACCTAGTTGACGTCAACGTACACCTAATTGTGTCTATTTGCTCAATTAACTATGTTATCCTGCGTCATCGCCTGGGTATCCTCGATTCACTTTCGTCGTCTTTTAGCACACTTACCATTCTCCGGTATTTGGCTCGCAACCGAAGAAGTCGATCCTGAAGAAAACCAACTCTTTCACGTTGAAAGGATTCAGCCCGCTGGTCAGTCCAGCGGTTACTCCGTACACGACTGTCACCGGGGCGGAGAGCAGGTAAAACTTGTGACTAGGAAACGAGTTTGTAAGCGGTAAAAATAAGACGCGATACACGGTGGATTCTAGAAATTATGCGCGCTGCGAGAAGTTGGCTGGAAGTCTGATCATCTTTGCTAAAGGAATTGTAAACACATAGGCGTCTTTCTATTATTAAAATGGCAATTTTCGTGTAATGGCAATTTCATGAAAGAGCAAATCTGAAGGTGGAACGTTGGGAGGAACATAGAGTATTTTTTTGTTCTGTAATTCTTCGAACCAGCTTCTCATCTGTTACACCATCATACGGCGCTTATTATCCCCCGTCACTTCTACGAGGAAAACTGGTTTTCCCACGATGTCTGAACCGTTACTCTTCCAGGATACGTCTGGCCTTCGAGGCGATCTTCCGCAAGTCTGCCACCTTACAGGACGTGGATCCCGATCCGGAATTAGGTTCCAGAGCTGGTGTGAGGCGCGACAGTCAAGAGGTCGCACCCCATACACCCATGTTAGCACCTAGTCCAGCCACCTCGAAGAAAGTACAATTGGTAAACACTGCTGTGTCTCTGGTTACAATAAACTCTGGCGTTATAATAAACGTGGGATGACATATGAATTTGTTCGCATCGATAGCCTCGAGAGAGAGTGATAGACATGTCCGCGGAGGATCAGAAGAGATGGGAGGAAAGCGAGATGGCGTTGGAGGTGGATTTCTCTAGGTGCCACATCGACCCAGCACCGTTTCAACTGGTCGAAAGGACGTCTCTGTTGAAGGTGCACAGCCTGTTCAGTATGGTGGGCGTGAATCATGCCTATGTAACAGCCATTGGAAGGCTGGTCGGGGTTGTCGGACTGAAAGAGGTGCGTTCGAGATAGAAATACCTGTTCTTTAATCTCTTCTTCGTGTGGAGGGCGTTGAAGAGGTTTAGAAGTTTATGATACTTGTTACTGAAACCGGAAGGTATAAATATCAACGTAAATTCTTCGAATTGCTTAAACAATCTACACTGGAATTGAACTACCTGAATTTTTACCACTCAAGTATCATGAACTGAGAAAGTTTTTGACTCTGTTTGAAACTCTGTATTACTTTCACAGCTAAGGAAAGCGATAGAGGACGCGAACGCTGGAATCTTGCCCATGCACGTGGAGAATCACATCGGTGTCTCGACATCCAGCATCGCGAAGAGCGAAACGGACACTGAGAGCAAGAACGCTAGCACGATGAACTCTATAGCTTCCGTCGATTGTGAGAAAGTTGAAAAAGTCTGAATGTTGAAACGAGAGAAAGAGAGAGAGAAAGATATTCTAGGGAGATAAGTAGAAACAAAAATGTGATAGTCGTGTTGTGAGACGCGCGACGCGGCCTGTGAACGATGCGATAGACGGACGTGTTTTTTAAACAAAATTATCCCATTCCTTCCTCCCACTATCGTGAATGTCAACGAAACTCGAGCAACAAGTCGATCGAAACCGCTTTTAAACTTCTCTCGTACTTAAAATCTCGGGACAAGATTACCGCCGATGTTTTTACGGCTTCGAAAACGTATACTGTAGTTTAAAAATTCTATAGAATTTACACTGTGATGAGTTACCTTTTCTTACGCGGGCTAGAATTGTAAGTTTATTGACCTTTACGGACTATGACGTTCGTCTTTTATAATCAAATTTGAACTGAATTAGCTTGTGCAAGGATTGCTCATCGCCAACGAAATCGTTTTCGAACTGTTGCTCTTGATTTCAACTGGAAGGACTCTCGGTACCGAAGATTCACATCAGGGTCTAATCAAGTTGTTCTTCACCGACTTAGATGGTTCTTTATCTAATTTTTATCCACTGTATTCCTCGTAAAATAATAGAATAGAGAGTTACCAGGTGCGAATGCGCGAATGATCGTTTCGATGATGTTTGATTTCGTGATATCAGTGCTCAATCAGGATCGTCCATGAAGAGCATGGGCTCGAATCCTGTGTGAAACGTTGAAGCTTTTCGTCGATCGTGTATTAAACAATAACTTGGTGCTGCAATAATCGTTATCGACGAATTAGCTTCGCGTTTACAGAGGAATATGCTGTGAATTGTGTGACTGTTGTTCTCGTTTAGACAATACAATCCTAAATCGTGATCGATAACGTATTATGTTATAGGACAAGACGATATAGTCAGTGACCTTGATAAGCGTGATTTAGCGTAATGTTAATTAATTTAAGGAAGAATCGCGAATGATATTGAATGCTATTGTAGTGTATAAAATTCATCTGACCATGGTTGTGCAAACCTATTTATTCTAATCGTTAATCGCTGTTAATCGCGCGTGAAAATTCAATGATGTTGTTAGATCATTGCGAAGAGAGAGAGAGAGCGGAATGTTTTAAGTGGAATCTTAATATCTTCCGTGTTCTGGTAGAAAACTATTTTAATTACGAGATAGCATCATTGGAAACGATATCTTAATTAATCATTCTGACGTTACTCTAGGACCAGATGCGGATAATACCGTTCTGTTTCGACGATCGGTTATCTGCGAGTACATAGGTATAAGCGAAAGTTCATAGGGCATTTTACATTCCATCCGACGTTATAGTTTCACGATGCATCCCATTTTATTGTAAATTAATCCTGTGTGTCACGCTTTACCGAGTTCCTGGCGTGACCAGTAATCACCAAGTATAAGTACACAGTGTACGATCGGGAAACGACATTAAATAATTTATTATATTATTTACAATATTGTGCAGTCGATACTTTTCACCGTTGTACAAATCTTGTATACCTATAATCTTACGTTGCAATGATTTTAAGGAAGGTAGCTAATATCTATTATGTCAGACAATTTTCTACGATACGCATCGCATACTTTTGGAATATACGCTTCGTTTTTGGCGGTAGACAAAGACGCATTATTTGTCTCGCGTTATTTTATTTGTCCAAAGTAAACCAGCCATGTAAGCATTTTGGCACCGGGCCAGGAGTGTCGAAGGTGGCTCTTGCAATTTCCGTAAGAGTCACGCTGTCTAGAATCAGCAGACCAACCCGTGTCTCTATATCCGACCACACGATTGCGCTTAACACCACACCGTCGTCTTCTGTCTGAATTCAGTGAAACCAATACACAAAATGAACGAGCCCGCGCCAATGTTCGTTTTACTCACTTTGCCATTGGGGTCAGGTACAAAAATGGGTTCGCTGGGATAAACGTTCTTCTCGCACCACGTTTTTCTCGTCTTTTCCAAAATATCCACCTTGATGATCTGTGAAACATTATACCTTTACAAGACGGACTAAGAAATACCAAGAACACGTGGAAAATGTCATCACCGTTCCAGGATTTTCCAAGTCCACGTCGCTGGAAATCGCATAGAAGTACCGGTACTCCCTGCCAAGATACGAATCGTAGTTGAGTCTCGGTGTTTCGCAGCCTAAATCGCAAAGAAGTTCTGGTTTCACGACAATGTTGCCATCCGGAAGTCTGTGAGCAGCCGCTCTTCGTCGAAGAATATTCTTGCCGTCGTGTCTCTTTTCTTTACTAACATCGACAGAATTTTCTACCTTTGATCCGTCGATAATCTCCGAACGATTTTTGACGTCGGTAACGTCTTGAAAAGACTCGAGACCCTGATTCACCGTTTTGGCGGTGATCAGGTTGTACTCTAATGGCACGTCGGACTGTGGACGTTTCATTGGCAACACGAATCGCAAAGGTCTACCTCTAAACATCTTAGCATAATCGGGATTCTTATGTAAGTTCTGTGGACATAACCAGAAAAATAATTACTGCGTGTATTTCTAAGCTGCATTTCCATTTACATCGATTGTCACCTTCATCGCATCCACGAATAAACAGTCCAACATCTTCGCATCGCGGTAGCAACAAATGTCCAAGACTATGTAATCGCGATCACGAGTTTCGAATTGATTGATGATGTGAAGGAAGAAGAATGCCTCCGAAATAAACGTCCTCTCCAATGACCCAGTTTCCTTCGAGACCACGTGTATGAAGGTCTGCGAAAAGACAAAAAAACCTTTGAGGATCTTGCATAACCCGAATGCGAAAATGAGGATGACCGCAACTTTAAACGCACGTTTTCATTCTCGTGCCATTTAAGAGCAGCATGCATCGGCTGTTGCTTCACTTTGCAAGACAATACGGTGGTCAGAGAGACTGCTAGAGGTTGTTCGACGATTATGAAATAGTTCTCTGTGATTCCAAAGGTGTGCATGTAGGAAGGATTCAGCAACCATCTCGATGGAACACTGGCGACGACGACAGCTTGATCGAACATCGATAATTCTTGCTCGTCCCCTGAATCGTCTGATCAAATTTGTTAGCGAGAAGATTCGATAGTCAGGAATGAAGTGTAGAAAGAAACTAACCGACGATAATTCGACTGGGAGAAAAGCATACGATATTATACATAGGTCCTCGAGGAGTTACGCTTAAACCTAGGTTGTAAACGGTGCCGTCGTTCATCACGTGAGGGTGTGATGTGTGATTTACGATGCGAACGTAGTCAGATACGTTCACCTATAAAGATTAAGAAAATTAATTTACGGAACGTATACATTTTGATATTACTAAATCTATGTTATAATGTTTCTCGTACCTTGCCCTTGGTTTCCAAAGTTTCTGGATCGATACGATGAATCACTGCCGTCTCAGCAAACGTGTAATACTCGTCGCCAAATGGATAGACAGATATCATCGAATTGTCAGAATCTTCCCCAGGTGTAAACACCGCCGCGATCCTGAATAATCACACTGTTGTATATTATTTAACTTCGAAATCCCTGAAATCCGTACCTTTGAAAGATACTTTTGCAGGGATCTGGCACCGCTCTCGTGCCAAACTCGGTAACGACTATCCTCTGTGCAGCTTTGTTCTTCTTGTAGACATCCGTCTGAACGAATCTGCACTGATACGTTACTTTCCCATCGGCAATGGCAAATCTATCGTTTAGAAAGCGCATTAAATCACGCGGAAATGAAATTCCTTGGACGTCAATGTTGTTCATTCTTTGTTGCAGACGTACCGGTGCAGTAGAGCTGAGCTATCGAACAGGTGGTTGAAACTGTATTCCCCAACCTTCAAACTACCTGGTCCGTTCCTCAACAACGTACCTTTCAACCAGCATGGTATCTTCCCTGTCACCTTGCCAGGTATTGGCTCTATCACTTCCTTTTCACATGATCTCATCCACACGGACGCGTCACAATTCGGAAAGTAATCCGGTTTCTCTTCCGACTCATTTTCGTTTGTACTCAGAATGTCTTCCGCGTCATTTAACTGTGGGGGTGAGATTTAATCAGCGTTCAAAATTTCACGGTATTCGCTTTAGGAAATTTTCACAATATTAAATATAAAATTTTTTATAATTGCGAGCGCACAAATTCATTTTTTCAACACGTCAGTGATTACTCTTGTAATATTTGTAATATTAATATCGGTACACTCGAGACACTTCAAAACTTACGCGAAACGATGTTCTTGACAATTTCAACCGTTTCCCATGCAAGAGATCATCGAGTTCGTTCAATTTCACGGAAGAGAGATCGTACTCTGATTTCGATCTGCTACAACTTGATTTCATGATGATTTTTATCAAAAATACAGAACGATTAAACGAACCCCGTACACGTTCACTACGAGGTTTTTAATTATCTTCGAAAGAGAACCGATGCTTTACGCTTCATCGTCCACCGTTTCGTTAGCCGATCCAGATACCAATGGATCCAAAATCGACAACAGAATCTGGTAAACTCGTTTGTGGGTGAAATCCATCGTTCCAGCAGGGGCTTCGACGAACGAATGACATTGTTCCGGTAATCTGCTGACCTTAAAATGTATTTTCATCGTGATCCAATTAATAACACCGGTTGCTCGAAGCCCCTCGGACGGTCACGCGTACTTCACCCCTTCTTTTTGAATTGCACCTCTTTCGACATGTGACTCCTCGGCACATGCTGCTCCAACGCGTCAATTCTCGAAACCATGTGTTCAGTGAAACAATCTAGATTTGTTACTTATTGCAAAACGTTGTTTGTTTAATTCTGTGAATGTCGCTCTCTGAGTTACCGATAAGGTGAAAATTAATCGAGTTAGCCGCACGGCTGTAAGAGGGCGGTAGGATTATTGTGCGAGGTGTGAAACAAGTTCTTAGTAGGTACATTCGAGTGAAGATAAGGGAAGAAGGAGGTTTTGAAAGGTTCCCTTGGAGAGAAGGGTTAAAATCGAGGTGAAGTCTAGGAGGAGGAAATTCAGAAATACTAGCTTAGAAAAAATTTAGAGGGAGCAAAGAGTTCAGGAAAGAGTTTAAGCTCTTATCGATTTTGGGACCTAGGCAAAACCTAGTTGCACACAAGGACGACTCCTCCATTTCCTCTCACATCCCTAAATTACAACTGTACATGAGAGTGTTAGATTTCATGTCAAGGAGATTTTAAATACAGTAAAATATTTATGATGCATAAAAAGAAACTTTCCTTTCGGTCCTCGTGCGGTAATCATTCCCGCATTCGTAAAGAATAATAATGTAATTGCTTAATATAACAGATGCACGTTCTGCGTCGCGAAGGAAAAGGTTCATCGATAATCGTCGTTTAATGTCTGATAATTAATGACAGTTCGCGTTGGTAGCCTTCGATCGCACGTGTGATATATTAAAGCGGAAAAATAATCCGTTGGCAAGGACGAACGTTCGTTAAATTAGCGTTCGAGAATAAGACGAACACATTTGATTGCCTCTATTACCGGAAACAAGGCGGCGATGCTGATGTCCGGAACAACTGGCTTTCCTAGATCAGTCAACCTCTTACGAAGATCCGACATCCCGCAAAACGGACACTCGATATTTCGTTCGTTTAACTTCGCGTAAAGCCTGGCCAATTGACCGAATTCGCGACCACTTTGCTCCTTTTGGAAACTTGCCAAAAATTATTCACGGCGCGTGTCGCTATTTCGACAAATGCCAACGAGACTTATTTTCAAGGCGATCAATTTTTCATCCTTCGATTCAATTTTCCATTACGTATTTGTTACAGTTTATAATCAAGCGACTGTCTTTTGAGTGACCATCTTTTTGTTCCTGTTAGCAAATCCTTTTTTAACTCTTTCAACGCTCTCGTTCTATATTTTTCCAGTATTCTCGTTCGCAGTGGAACGTTATTCGCGAAATTCAACAAAGCAGTAAAGTGATAATATCTCAGCGGCACAGCTGAACAACCAATATATTCTACGAACAGATACACATGTTGTTTTTCTGACATTTGAAATTTGCATTCTAACGTGCACGTACTATGTAGATTTTCTGTTATACGGTCTCTGAAAGACTCCATTAACAGGACTGTAAATAACCGCAGTTTACCTCGACGCGTCGAATGTAAAATGCAATTTAGGAAATTTTTCGTCACGTTTTCGAATATACAGGTTGACGATTGATTTCGATGAAACACTGGATGTTTGATCGACGAGATAAAGACAACCTCGATTCCCGTATTTATTCAGTTTCTAACCAAGTGTTATTTCTTTCGAATGTTACTTGTAGGTGGAAGCTATCCGTTTGCTAATTGAGCGAGGGAATCGAGACAAAGATATCATTGAAAAAATGAGCGAGAAAGAAAGAGGTTGAAGGTAATTGTACCGAGGACGAGATAAAAAGAACGATACGATATCGTGACAATCTAGGTTTCTTAATGTGTCGCCACAGTGGAAGCGGACATATGTAGTCAGACTCTCCTAAGTTCATTACCTTGTCCTCTTCATTGTCTAATTCATAAATTTTCAAGCTTAAGCATTTGTTTTGCAAACAAAGGTTGCCAGAGGATCCAAGAATAAACGGAAGTGAAAATTTATTCTTTCTTTTCGAATAACTTCGGGAGGTGTGTGCACGAGTGTCTATACGTGTCCGCGAACACGTTAGCTAGCGGGTCGAACGATCCGCGTGACACATCGCCCATTGCTCGCATAAGTTCGCGTCCAACCAACACTTCTGGGTGAAACGTACACACATGCTTGCACCACGTGCCTGTCACGTGCTCGAGGCGAGAGGTACACGTCACGTGAGCAGTCCGAGTGGCTCTCGCGAACAAAGCCAACAAAATCAGAGTTAACGCCTCGACGTGGAGGCTGTCGCGTGGAAAGGAAATGCAACCTTCTCGAACTTTCATCGGTTAATATTCCATGAACCTAAAGTCAAGCTTGGATCCTCCAACTCGGTCTTCAAATTTTTCGGAACGAACTTATCCGTCTCTGAGAAAAGATAGGTTCAAATGCACTCTCGATTGAACTTTGTTCAAGGAATAATTCCAATTGGCATACGATAATGCAATAACAAAATATCGAGCACTTGTTTCGAGTCTGAATAAACATGAGCGATATTCGTTCCGGAATATAAAATATTCAGGTTCGTGAAAGCAAGATGGCGGTTTGTTATCGAGTTTACACACACTCGAGATAAAAGTGACCTATATACTTCCTCAAAATTTGCTTTTTCTCCGTCCTTGCATTAATCTGCACACGTTGCATCTTCTTGTATTCCTTCCTCGGCGAATGTGATGAAATTTCATTTTTTTCGTTGGACAGGTTTCTGTGCCATGCATATTCCAAACGCCCACTATCCTATTTACATCTGTTACTTACAAACATGTTCCTATTTGACTCGCTACGTAATACAGATCCAACCCGGTCTCCACGTTAACCGTAGTCTAAGTCGCAGCGCTCGATGACCTAAGTCCGTATTTACAAAGCGTTCACCGTGGGAAATTAGAATTGCAACATAGTATTCAAAGAATATGAAATGTAAACTTCCGCACTTTCTGTCTCACGAAGAATCGAGAAAGGGACTCGAAAGAAAAACGGTGCTCGTTAATCGTAATGCGTTAAAACGCGGATCGCAAAGCGTGTAGGTCAAGGCCGAGATAATGGTAAACGCAGACATTCAGCGCGTGAACAGTTCTGCTACTTACCTACCTCACTTTCAGGAACGATCACCGATTTTCTTGTCCGTGAATTCGGTATTCAGGATCGTGAGGTTATTGCATATTCATGATGAACACTTGTCTCTTTAAAATCGACCTTCCTCTTTCGAACTGGAAGGGATCCGAGTGGTGGGACCTCGATTATTTCCACCACTCTGAACCTTGCCAATTTATAATTAAAGGTAACTGACCAATCTCAACTCGAGGACAAAATTCGTTCGAAACTGAGTCAACTTTAATTATAGAACAAAAGGTATCTGTGTCTCAAAGTTTCTTTCCGGGTTAATTGTAACAACAGTACCGTAGCTAGGTTCTGTGTTATGATCGACGTTCAAGATTCGACTTTAAAGGTCACGACTTTAATCGCGTTTTAAAATGCGATAACTTTGAACGTGACTCTCTAATTGTTTCGAATAATACCGAGTCATCGGATGGAAAAGAAATAACGACAAACAGAGGACGCTTGCCATCTGTCATCGCGTTAAAGAAGTGATGAATTAGTTCTATTTATTCCTCCTTATTTTTTATTTACCGCAGACGTGGATTCGCGATTGCGTGTCAATCTGATTTAGAACCAGTTCGAATCTCGACGAGATGCTTGCAAACAAACGGCTGGCGTTAATTAAGGAATGTTACCTAACTTAAACCATTTACGAGCCGTCTATTTTGAGTCTGTTAAAATCTTTGTTGCACTCGTGTTTACGTCTACTGATAAAGAGCAAATTGTCTAAGGAGTTTTTAGTTCGTTTCTATCGACATATGCACGTTGTTTAATCAATATGTTACATAACAGCGAGCGGAGAAGATAAATTTTAAATAGGATGATTTATAACAAACTTTAATAACCATTTCTATGTAAAATACTTCATAAATCGTATCTTAATACACGTGTTCGTTATCAACGTAATAATTAACGTGTTATTACGTGCCAAAGAAAGTTACCTTTGTCACATATTAACGTTCTTCGAAATTTTTCCTGTTCGAATATTTGTAAATTGCGGAGCCGATTACGAACGACTTTAACGCGCTAATTACGCGAGTGGTATCGATTCACCGCCTACGGAGGAAAGAAATAATCCATTAAACGCCCGGTAAAAATAGAATAAACTTAACAACTTCATTTTAGACAAATTAAAACATTAATTGACGATATTAGTATTAATTACCGTTCTCGTGAAAACACGTCGCAGTCTTTTCACGCATATTATATTTCCTCGTGAAACAGCTGGAAAAAAAGTAGCGACAATCATCGGGATGTAACGCGAAGTTGTCATGTGACATCCTAATCTACTCTCATGACGCGTGTGCGTGTGTGTATGCAGATCATGTGACGGGACCTTTTTGCATGATTCATTGTCTCTCTGTAGGAAAACTTATCTGTGACCACCTTAATCCCACGATTACGTACAATGTACACACGCGTTATCGAAATCGGCAATTAATCACAAGAGTTTCGGTAACTTGTCGTACAATGTGGAACAGGAATCAGATAACGATTACAGATCTTCGACAAAGGGAAAACATTTTGTCGAGAGGCGATTATCGGTGACGGGAAGAGAACTCTTTTGCCTCTTTTGTTGTTTCTTGTTGTTACTCTCATTAGTCATTTCAGTGACGTCCACTGCTGCGATACCACCAGCCGGCGATATCGATATCCTCCAGTGGCTGATAATTGTATTTGTACCGGAATTCTTTTTCGTCACTTATCAAACACACGCCCGTTCGCCGTGAAAACTCCTCACTAACTTTAATACTATTATCGTTCAAATCCCCTGGTCTTGTTTTTCTAAATTTGGTAATTCAAAGATTTCGAAATTGTAGAATTGTCACGTAAATTGTGGAATTGTCACGAGGTGGAGAACCGTAGTCGCATTAACCCTTCGCACCCTTGTTTACAAACGGCAACTTTAAAACTTAGGTAAAAAGTTAAATGAATTTTCTTCAGGTTATTTTTTCTTCACTATGTTTATATATCACACGTGTCATATTAAAAAATGCTTGTTTAAAATTATTGTATTAAATATAACGGTGAGTCACCTCTCGAGCGCAAAGAGATTTTCCGCAAATTCAGAAAAGTAAAAGGCAGATACAAGCGAAAGAATTCTCTCGGTACTCTGTTGTTCGTTCATATAACTTTTAATTGAGAGCAAAGTTCATATTCCGCGAAAAGTATAGAACTTAATTAATTAAATGCTCTTTTATGTGTCTTCCAATTCTGCCCCGTTCCAACGCTATGTCGTGTTACAGCCGTCTTTATCGTAAAGAATCATTTTCTGAATGCTGCAGGAAAATACCTAATATATCTGAAAAATCTAAAAGAGACTATTAACTATCATTATCGTAAACGCGCTTGTTAAACACAATTTTCTGCAATCTCCAATTTGAACAGCTGTTCGATGATGAATGGACGGAATTTTTTAATTCGCAGTCAGGAGTACATTCCTGCAGTATTTTTAAGCTCTGCATCTCGAATTTAATGCGTTACTTACGTCAGTAGATGATAAATATCTGTCCCTCGTATCTTCTTAAAGTGACGATTATAGTCGGGTCACGAGAGAATCTTGTTCGCCGTTATCGAATCTCGTGACTGATTCGACACTAGTGAAGTGGTTATTTTGTAGAATTGCAATTAAGTTTCGTCATCGTTAAAAAATGTTTTCGATCAATCTCTTCAAACATTACAAATTGATTAGGAGTCTTGTCTTAATGATACTCGGATGAATCAAGAATGCATTGACGGTTATGTGATAATTATCCTCGGCGCGGATATAAGATTGTCGAAAAACGATCGATACAGTAGAAATAGCCATGACTAGCGCGACATAAAGATTGTACAAGGTATTAAAAATTCAGTTTTCAATCTAACTAGACTAATAGATTTGGAACACATATTTCGTGTAATCCCATTCAATAAGTTCAAATCATCGAATAACGACGCGACGACCTCTTTTATTCGATTATTCTATAATCATTATTGGATTAGACTGTGATCGAACCATCAGCACGTGTGCCATACGTGAACTCTTGGTTCTAGATCGCGATAACTATATCAGAGATCAATAAACTTCGTTGGATCATAATCGGTATCACAAGATTAACAGATACACAAAAATAACGTACTCTTACAATTCTCAATAACAGAGAAAGCTTAAGCTTTCTTTTTTACGGTTTCTGGTTATGTATCTCTTTAAGATTGTTAGACTAATTTCGTCGGGAGTAAACAATGTATACAACTTCGCAGTAATTTGTAGATTTAAGAATATAGATTTTGGAGTTGCATAAGTTGGCTGACTCTGAAATTTCTGCTGCGAATTTAAAATTTTAGAACGCTTCCTGTTTGTTCAGCTATCATCGCCGAGTCGGAATACACTGTTATAACTCACCACGACGAAATCGAGTTAATAATAAGTTCGCAGACGCGTCTGAGTATAAAGTCCGACACTCTGCAAGACGGGTCCAAATCGATCTCGATTTCGACTCGTCCTTGCGCAATTCCGAATCCTTAATCATAAATCGAACGGCAATCGATCAGCACCTATGCCGTTCAAGTGCTTTTCCATTAGCCGGGAAACCTGTTTGACCAGTGTCCCCATTAATACACGTAACAACGTCTTTCTAATATTATGGCTTTTATCTTTGCTTAACTTTTTATCAAATTTTTGCTAGACGCACGAACTCGGATTATTAAAAGTGCTTGAAATACTTCGCTTTATTAAACGAATTTTATTTTCTCCCTCATCAAAATTAGGACGTGAGGAGTTTTATTTATGAAACTTTTGATCCAAAGGTCGCTCTTTGTCACGATTAATCTCACCTATCAGCTCGTAAGTACATGTATGACCCAGTCAGCAAGATCCTTATCACGAACTATCAATTTTTTTCACGCTCACACTTAACCGTTAACAGTTACAAAGTTCCTTCAGGCTCGAACGAACAGAAACCAACAGTGATTAAGAAAATGCAACAGTATCATTGAGGTACAATAAATATTACCCGCCTTGAAACGTTTTCTTCTCGTTCGAAAGACGATTCTTCCTGTTCTTTTTTGTTGAATTATGCAAGTGAACTTAGAAGGACAAAGGCGTGCACATCATTGCAAAATGCAAAATGTTGTGCAACTGCCGGTAATCCAACTACGATATCTGAATATTAATTTATGACGCGATCTCGTATTTTTCGCTTGCAGTCCGAGGTGTCGTAACGAGATAAGAAAATTCATTATCCGCGAATTCTCCGTAGTCGCCGTGTCTCTCGCGTGCGATATCGTCGAACGAGAGAAAAATACGTCGAATCCGACTTCATTAGGGTAATTTATCGTTTTCTCCGGGTCCAATTCAGTTTCGAATGTTTTCACTCTCGTCAACGTATATAAAGAAACGTTCACGATCATCTACGCACGATGATTCATCCTTAACTTGTTGGTATAAACAGTGAGCGATTTTCTTCGATCGAGAAATTAATTCGAGACCAAGGAATTTGTGGCGACTCGCAGTATGGTCTTGGAAGTCGTAGACTTTATGATCGATAGCAAGGAAATTGTAAGTGATTTTAATACTGTACTCGCAGGAACTATCGAACGTTCATTATTGGTACAATATTTGATTTATAATGCAGCAAATCTCGATCAGGTAAATGTTTCTTGCGTGAAATGTGACGCACTGTTTATCGTCGATAAGAGTACCGATAATCGAATAATCGCAAGAAGCATGAAAGTCATGCATCGGCTACTGTTGAGAAGGAAAGGTACGAAAGACTGCATAGTGTATAAACGAGAACGTTTAAGGAATAAATATTCGGATTTCGCAAAGTGACAAAAGTGCCGAGGAAGAAGAGTAGTCAAAGATGATAGTGTCCGCTTGAAAATAAGCGAAATTAAATAAAACAAGACCGACAAGACGTAAGAAGCACATGACTGCAGTTTGATATGAAGGAACTCGTGACAGCGGACCCGATAAACCACCGAGAATAATTTAATCGACCGCAACAGCCCGCAAACGTGTTCAGTCCTTTGCCGACATGTCCAGGAACCAGAATTACCGGACGTTTACCGACGAGTAAGTACGACGAAATATTCTCACGTTTTTCCCTCATTACTGAAAGTATAACCTTGTCCAAACATCGTGAAATTCGACCATGGCGAAGTGGATATCGACCACTTTCCTAATTGCAATTATCTGCACACAGTGATCAGCCGTAATTTATGGAACCAAGTGTTTGGGAAATGAGTAAAGAAATCCGAATTATCGGTGTGTAAATATACTCCGGTTATACAAATTCTTTAAATATATTTGTTCGACTTATCGAGTGAACAAATTAGGTTAATCCTACCTAATATTACTAACGTTGTGAGTTAACGTTTAATAACCCCGAAGGTTTCTGTTTGACTAGCTGAAAGTTTGGAATGACTGAATTTCGTGGAAAGCGTGTGCTATTTTCATGCTCAGTTTTCTATCGAACGTCTAAGTCTGCAATCTCTTATCTCGAATTATTTGCGGCAATAGACATTACGTCTATTCCATGGAGTTGACCACACTTTACTCTGTGCAAAGAGAACAGTGATAATGTAAAAGAAAGATATGTCTGTTTAGGCAGGAATTAAAGTATACGAAAATGTGACTATTCGTTTGTCGTGCAAATGTTCAGCGATTAAAGTGTGTGCAGTGGTGATTATTCTACTGATCTTAAATTTGGTCAGATTTTATTGGTCATTATGTGCGTTTCGTCATCTAATTACCTGAACCCACCGTAAGATTTTATTAAAAATCGTCCTTTGAATGATCTCTTTTTTAACGTCTCTTTCGGTTCGTAATTTTATCAACGTGTGAATACTTAATTTTTGCAAATGCTTATCTTAGAAATGGACATGTTTGTCTCGATATATTCGACGATCGATTAATATTCCAAGATAAAGATTAAAATGATCACATTTGTTCGATCTTTTTAAAACGTACTTAAAGTTCACTTGACTTTCAATATTAAAATTACTTTTTTCTTCAAAATGTTACGTATCGATAGTACATTTTGAAAATTTGAGAAAACAATTTTTCGCTTATCTGTTATCTCATTTCGCGCGTACAGAGCACAGAGAAATATAACTCTCATCAATATCGTAATTCACGAACAACAATCGTGACAAATTCAGTCACGAGCTGCTGTAGAACCGACGAGCGAGATACGGCACTATTTTTCTTAGATAAACAAATGATCAAATCCTCGTGACTGTTCTTATCGATTCGAATGCAGATTGTGTCGTACAACCTACATTTTTCGATCGAAAAAAGTAACCAGGTATACGGTAAATATTTCTACGCGATACAGAACGTTATTTTTCTCGTCTGACAGAAATGTTGACATTGTTTTATATTCCTACTTGATTAACACGTCGTAAACAGGATAAGATTTATAAAACATTTCTATAGTTAACTGAGATTGTAAAAAATCGGACGCTAAAAAAGGCCACACAAATATTGTTCGATAATCTTTCTTCGATTACTATATCTTACAAAATTTCATTTTCATATCAGTTTCATATGTTTTCATATCAATTTCATAATTTATCGGATCAGATTTTGTTTGATTTGATCTTTTTCTTCGAGAGGTGGATCTTTTAAAAATTGGAAACGTGCAAATAGCCGAAGAGCGCATGCGCGAGCGGACAAAATTCGCGCGTTTTTCTACTGCGCAAGTCAACAGAGAATCGACCAACCAAAAGAACGATCGCTATAGCTTATATAAAGCTTAGCCGGCGAGTGTCACGAGTACATTCGCTTCGCGCGCGCCGTAATCGAAGCAAGGGCTGTAAACAAATTTGTTACAGTTTTTCTTTCGCGCGTTTGTAGTAATCAAACTTCGTAACGTACAATTTTCGCGGGATAAGTTACGTGTAAAAAAGAAAACGGAGGGAAGAAAGAGGAAGAGAAAGAAAACCTCGTTGGTCAACGTACATGTATTGTCCATGGAAAAATATAGCCTTGGAACTTTACGAAATAGGATTCGGTGTTTCAAAAATTTGTTGAAGAAAAAGAAAGCTCCTCTCAGAAACGGTACGGAGCTACGTTCGCTTTCATTAGAGGTGAATCGGGAAACTGAAGATTAACAAAGACAAGAATAAAATAAACAAGGAAGAGAAAGCAGACATGCTAATTTCTTTATAGTGATTATATAGCATTGTGATATAGCAGACTGTGATATAACTTATATATATATTATTTTATTCGAAAGACTCAAAGAAACAACGCCGGAAGATTGATATGACGAACACTATGGCAGAGTGAGTACACATAAACGCTTTCTGTGCCTTTTACACACACAATGCCGTACGGTTGTCGCGAGAAAGATCGAGCAGTTTCTGTGAACCAAATAATTCAATTAAATAGTTTACCGCAGCTAGATTTTCTTCTTTCCGCAATCTTCATATCCGTTCCTCTTTATTTTAATGTTTTATCAACGGACGTTTGTAAATTAATGACCTTTTCGGTGACGATAAGAGAAAGCATAACAAGAGTTGCATTTTACTTTTATCAGTTTCCGTATGCTGTTGCTCATCGTGACGTTACGTAAATTCAGTTTTGAACACGATATTTATTTACACCGTAAAAAATGGTACAGCTTCGGTTAAACTGACAGAATTTTCATATTCGATTCTCCCTTAATTAATGCGTTAATATCCGCTGTCAAGTAGTATCATTGATGAATGGTCAGACCTCGCTGCATCTACTTAATTTGCTGTATTATCTACTTACAAGTAAACCTACCCAAGTGTCACTCTCCGATTTTGATGAAATTTGGATATGTTATAGTACATTGAAAATTAGGGGACACGTATTTTTTTTTATCTGCGGTAAAACATATTTAGGGTATGAAACAACCCCCCAAAGTGTGAGGGTAAAATGGAAAAATTGTGATATTTTCGAGATCAGTGAAGCAATCTTGATGATTTTTGGTATGAAAGTATCTTTCGATAGAAGACAAAAATTGGCCTAGGTATGTTAGAAGGGGAGTGAAAATTAGGGGGTGAAATACCCTAAAGCGACCAATTTTTTGCTGCAAAAAAATCAGTTTTGATCTGATCGAAATAAAATCTATTAAAACTTGAAGAGGAAAGTTAATTAGGGAACACGTATTTTTTTTCTTTTTTATTACATAAATATTTGGGACGTAAATA